GTGCGCGCCGCGCGTGCGGGCGAGGCGAAGCTGCCTGGCTGGGCGAAAAGAAAGTCTCCTCTGGCTGAGGCGCGGCCAGACCAAATGATTCCTCTCCGGGGGCCGGTGCCGCGCGGTGTCCCGCCGGTGTCCCGCCTCCGGCTGGGGCGCGGCCGGACCAGATGTTTCGTTTCCGGGGGCCGGTGCAGCGCCGGTGTCCCGAGGATGATGATGTCGATGATGATGTTGATAGTGGTGATGATGATGGTGACGATGATGACGGTGTCCCCATGATGATGATGATGTCGGCGATGTTGTTGATGATGGTAGTGATGATGATGCCCGTGGTGGTGATGATGATGGTGTCCCGAGGATGACGATGTTGATCGTGATCATGTTGCTGCTGATGATGATGATGGTGGCCCGATGATGATGATGTTGGTGATCCTGATGATGTTGATGATGATGAGATGATGATATGGTGGTGATGAAGAAGATGACGATGGTGTCCCGATGATGATGGTGATGATGAGGTTTATGATGATGCTGCTGATCGCGATGATGAAGGTGATGATGTTGGTGTCCCGATGATGAGGATGATGATGTTAATGTTGATGATGACGATGATGGTGTCCCGATGATGATGAGGATGATGAGGATGGCGATGAGGTTATGATGATGATTTTGTTGATGGTAGCCCGATAATGGTGCTGATGCGGATGTTGATGATGATGGTGTCCCGATGATGACGATGATAGTGGTGATGATGATGGCGACGATTATGACGGTGTCCCGATGATGATGATGATGATGACGATGTTGTTGTTGATGATGATTGTGCTCCGATAGTGATGTTGATGTTGTTGTTCATGATGGTATTGATTTGAAAATGAGGATGATGATGATGATGCTGGTATTCCGATGTTGCTGATGATGATGGTGCCCCGGTGATGATGATGTTGGTGATGATGGTGGTGGTAATGATGGTGTCCCGATGATGATGATGATGATGATGATGATGATGATGATGTTGATGATGATGGTTCTGAGATCATGATGATGGTGGTTTCCCGTTGGTGATGATGGTGATGTTGATGGCGTTTATGTCGATGATGTTGATGCTGATGAAGTTGATTGTGCTTTCGATTGTGATATCGATGGGGAGATCGATACTGATACCGAATGTGAGTTCGATTGTGAGATCGAGAGTGATATCGATAGTGGGATCGATTGTCAGATCGGTTGTGAGAACGATCGGATGACATAGATCGGGTGAGATCGACTTTGAGATCGATCCGGTGAGATCGATTTCCAAGACCGATCGTGAGATCGATCGTGAGACCGATCGAGTTAGGCGTTGGTTCCCCCCCCGAACCTCCTTATCACCCGAAAGGTGGTCGTATGGGTATCAATCCGTTCCCTTATGGGACGGATTTCGATCGGGCTCCTCTTGTTGAGGGTTTCGATCGAATCCATTTGTGTTGTGGAGCTCACTATAATTATCCGTTTCGCAGAGGGTTTCGATCGGAGTTTTTTTTTTTTTTTTTGAAGAGGACTTCCATATAACTTTTTTGCAGGTGACTTCAATCGCATTTCCTTGTGTAGGGGATGCCGATGCGTTTTTTTTGCGTGGTGGGCCCCATCCGCAGTCCATCATAGTGTTCTTCCCCACTTGTTATCATTCTGTCCTTTCTGATACAATAATAATCACAAGTAGAAGTACAACTTAAAAAACCGGAGAACTTGGTTTTGCCGGTGACCCCCTGTGAATTTTCTAAATCCGACGATTTGTGTTGGTGTGCATTTTCAAAGAGCATCGAGCGAAATTATGGTGTCCGTTTTTTGTTTAAACACATTGTTTTTGATAAAGCACGTTTCGCTTGATAGTTGATGCGAAGAGGGTTTCGATTTGATTCTTATTTGTCGATGATTTTCATAGGTGCAGGGAATTTCAAAACGTTTCTTTTTGTGGTGGGCCTCATCCGAATTTTACCAGAACCGGAAAAAAGGTTTCCGTTGTGACTCCTTCTGGATGTTTTTAAATCCAATGATTTCGGCGGGTGTCATTTTTGCAGAGGGTGTCACTGGTTCTTGAACAAGTCACAAGTTTCGCTTGATACTCTTTGGAAACGCACGCCGGCCGAAACCATTGGATTTACAAATCATTGAAGGCGTCGCAAGCGCAACCTGGATAGATATATTGTTTCAAGCAAAATCCAAATTTAACGTATAGGAGACGAGATGCTAGTGGGTTCCTGATGAGGCACATTCCGTTGGTAGAGGGTTTCGATCGATTTCTTTTTTTTGTGAATTTCGGTAATATTATTTTATGTTCCGGATTTCCATATCTGCCCTTTTTGTAAAGGATTTCAGCCGGGCTCCTTTTGTCAAAATTCGCATTGTAGAAGGATTCCGTGAGGATCCCTTTTTGTAATGGGTGTCGCTCGGATTCTTTTGGTACAGAATGTCAGCAGGGCTCCTTTTTGTCGAGGGTTTCAATGGGAGTCCTTTTGTCCAGGATTTCAACAAGACCTCTTTTGTAAAGGACTGGTTTACAAACTAATTTTCTTGTGGCGGATTTACACACTTATTCATGCTGTGGCGGATTTGCGGGTTTATTCCTTGTGTGGTGGGTTTGCATGTTTATTCCTTATTGTGTCGGGTGTACGTGCTCATTTGTCTAGCGCGTTTACACATTGTTTTTGCGGCCGATCTACATGTTGAATGTTTTTGTAGCGGGTCCGCAATATAAGCCCTTCGACGGCGGATCCGTTGTGCGGCGATACGCTTACGACGGCGTCGACGACCAGAAGGGGCCCCACCCACATGTTGAACTTGTTCCCCCCGAGGGGGCTCCCAGAACACCCCGTTCTCCCTTATCGAGGATGGACGCCCCCCCCATCGCATGTCTCAGGCTTGAGCTCCAAAGTTTGGTCCAGTCGAAAGCCTCCCAAAACCTGGGACATAGGGGTCGACACCCCCTGTTGTTACCACTGTGCACCCCTTCTCAGCCTACACGTCCCCATGGATGCTTGGCCTCGTGCGTGCGCTCCTGGGAGATCTTCGCTGGGAGCGGCTGAGGGTTGTTAGGACTGGTGGGTTCTCCCAGGAGTATACCAGATTTTCATTCCAAGCTAGGCCAGATTGCCACTGCCCCCTGCCACCTCGCGAAGATCCAACACGCACAGTGTCTGCCGTCGTGGGCCCCAAACGGTGAGTTATTGCACCGTGGGTGTGTAAGCCATGTGGTGCAAGCTATGTGGTGGGAGCTATGTGTGGTGCAAGCTGCGTAGTATAAGCTGTCGGAGACGCATGCGGCGAATCACCGCCGACCCATCCCTTCTTTTGGGATGGAATCACCCATGTGGCCGAACGATGTGGCCTGAGCTCTGCCAAGCTATCCGACCGTGTGTTCGCCCAGCCGTTGTGGAAACTTTTCGGGGAAAACGCGGGAGAAAGAAGAAGTGGAGGATACGAGGGACAAATAGAGAGGAGGATGAGGACGAGAAGGAAGAGGAGGCGGGTGAGGCTGAGGAGGAGGAGTGCTCGTCGGGGCTTTCTGGGAGTTTCATGTGGGCCTCTCGGCCCCCTGCCTTTTGGAATCGCCCATGTGGCCGAACGCTGTGGCCAGTGCTCTGCCAAGCTGACCGACCATGTGCCCCCCCAGCCGTTGTGGAAACCTTTCGGGGAACACGCGGGGGAGAAAGAAGTGGCAGAAGAGAGGGAGGACACATAGATAGGAGGATAATGATGTGGAGGAAGAGGAGGCTGAGGAGGAGGAGGAGGACTCTGGGGGCCTTCCGGGAGCCTCGTGTGGGCCTCTCGGAGGCCTCTCAAAAGCCTCCTTGGACCTCTTGGGGGCCTCTTGGGGCTTCTTGGGGGCCTCTTTGGCTATCTTAGGGCGTTCCTGGCCCGTCTGACGCTGTCGGAAGCCGTCTTGGGAGGTCTCTGGACCGACTTTGGGCCCTCTTCGGGCGCTGCAGGGCCGTCTTCGAGGCCACCATGGGCGCGTCTCGAGGCCGTCTTGAGGGCTTCTTGGGCCGTTATGGGGTCATCCTGGAGGCTTTCGGACCCATCTTGGGGCGATCTTGGGACCCTCTTGGGCTGACGGAAGGCCGAAAGCAAGTCCAAGGGCAACCCCCGTGCCCGCGCCTCCTGCCCCTCCCCCCCAATCTCCTCCTCCGCAGAAGTCTTACGTCGCGACGTTTCGCAGACGGTTTTGAGTCCCGAGCTGTTTTTTGGCGGCCCCAGGGCTTGGTGAGGGCCCCCGGTGAACGAAGCCAGCCACCAAAAATGTCGTCCCCCTCAGCACCCTTCTGCGGCGGCGCCTGGGCGTGTCGCCACCTCCATCACCAGGAGGGCAACTCCGTTGGGGAAACGGAGCGCCCGTACAAACTTCAGACCCCTCCCACCTTCTAAACCCTCCTTTTTCGCTCCCCCCCCTACTCCATTTCCTCCTCCTCCTCCTCCTCCTCCTCCTGCTTCTCCGCCTCCTCCTCCTCCTCCTCCTCCTCCTCCTCCTCTATTTCTATATCCTCATCAAGGCCGCCTCGGCTCAAGGCCGCCCAAGCTCAGGGCCGCGCCGTCTTGTCCTATTTCTCTCCACCATCTCCCATTTTTCACTTGCGCCACTTCTGCTTTCCATGGCGTGTACGCACGCGGCCTGCCCGCTCTTTGGCGCCCTCCCCGCTTCGGCCGACTAGATGGGCCGCTGCAGGCGCTGCGGCTAACTGCTCCCAGGCCACAGTGCTGCGGCGAGCGGGGCTGCCGGGGGAGCGAGCTCGGTTGCGATAGCGGCCGTTCACTCCCCGTCGGGGTCCGCCGATGCTCCGCCTGCCGATGGCACGGGCCTGACCCAGGACACGGGGAACCTCGCGATCGGCGTCTCCAACATCGAGGTCGACGACATCGAGGTCGACGACATCGAGGTCGACGAGGGAAGTGCATTCTCTGCGCTGCCAGCGGGCGGCGTCGTCGCCGCACCCCCTGGACTTCCGGCGTCTCTCCCGGAGTTCCCCTAGGGTTCGCAGCCGCTTGCGGAGCTTCTGGAGCAGGAGATGCTGAAGCACTTCGATTGGGTCCAGGCGCACGCGGCGGTGGCTGGCTCGATCACGGTCTCGATGATGGTCGCTTCATTGGCAGACTTCGTGGGCATTTTCAACGCTCTGGCCGACTTCCCGGACAAGGGCGACTGCTGGGCCAAGCTGGGGCTTGCCCCTTTGGAGGGCCCGGACCTGACGCTTGGGACCATCGAGTCCCGGAGGCGATTCGCCGTCCTCGGCTCGGCGATCGACAGTGCTGCTTGTCCAGCGGAGGTCCGAACCAAGGGCAAGCGACTGGTCTCCCTCCTCGACGGCGGTACCACGGAGTGTTGCGCCCGCTTTGACGACAGACGAGCGGCTCGCAAGCGCATGAAGCCATGCAAGCTCCCGCTCTGGAAGGAGTTGGGGGGGAGGCTCTGGCCGCGCTCATCCGCCACCGCATGGACCCCCGGGAACCCTTCGCGACGCAATGGCCCTCCCTCACAGAATCGGGGTCCTGCGTGCTGCCGCTTGGGGAGACGCGCCTGGTGGCGGATCTGGCGGAAAAGCGTGACCAGAAGCTCTGGGATACCGGGGGAGCCACTTGTCAGATGGGCTCCCTTAGACCGATCCGCTCTCGGGAGGCTGCGGGATTCGTTCCTGAACTTTTCTGGCGACCCAACATGCCGCCGTACCTCAAGATGGTGGTCCCGATGCAGGTTTTCTTTGGGTGCGACTCTTTCGATGCTATTCGGGATCTTCGGCATCTTTCCATTCTTCGAGAGCGGTGGGCTTCGAATGTCCGCGCCGTGGACATTTACTCACAGCCCTTCGAGATGGTCGTGCCCGGGCGGGTCGCCCTTCGACAGGATCTTAAGGGTCTGGTCGTCTTCGCGCTTTCGGCGTCTCTCCCCCGTCGACTTCCGCGCGTGGTGTAGCCGGTGGCCCTTCTCTCCACGGTCGACATGCAGCCCGCGTTTTATGTTGATTTTCTCGCCGAGCCCACCCAGCAGGTGCTGAACGTGCTCCGCGCCAATGGCGGCGGGAGCATGACGGCTGGCCAGGTCAGGCGTAGCGCGGGCTACACGGATAAGCAGCCGAGGGCCATGGTGGAGGTGCGTCCCCTGTCGGTGCCAGCATGCTTTCGCAGGAGTTGATGTTCCGCCAGATGCGCCTGCTCTTCCCGGCCGGGACGGTGCGCGGCTCGCAGTCTCTGTTCGCGGGCCCGTCCACCTTGCTCGTGGAGATCGGCCATGCCTGCGCTGCATTTTGCGCCTGGCCACTATGCTCAGGGATCCTGTTCCTCTCTTCGGAGCGCCTATTGGTCGTCCGCGACGCGTCCGAAGGCACTTCGACCAGCGCCATGGATCAGGCCATCAAAGACGACCCCGAGGGGGCGATCTATATGGTCAAGTGGCGCTTGTCGCGTCAAGGAGGCCACCCCTTCGCGTCTCCTTCGGCGACTTCTGCGCAGATCGCCGCCGCGCGCCGCTCCCAGAACGCTGTCAGCGGGCATTTTTGTTTTCTCTTTTCTTTTTCGGGCGGTGACGGAGGTTGAGCTCCGGGGGCGCCTCGTGGCAGACGAGAAGGAGGTGATCCAGACATTGATTACCCACTTGTGCACTCAGGCTGGCCGTCAGCCCCGGGAGGGCTGCGGCGCCGATTGCGGGCCAGGCGCGCGGGCGCGGTTGGCCGGGCGAGATCCGAGCGCTTCCTCGGGGCGCTCGCGATGATTTTGTGGCAGGTGGGGACGGGATGGCGCGCGCGCGGGCCACCCTGCGCAACGAGGCGGTCCAGGTCGGCAGCGACACGTCCACCGCGCAGGTTTTCAACGGTCTCCTGGATTCCGGGGCGGCGCAGGCGCGCCGGCGCTGACTATCCGCTCAGACTGGGGTGGTCGCCTGAGCTGGGTCGGGCTCAGGCTTCGCGACCTTCGTCGTCGACGTGATCGTGGGCCTCCTGGGCGCGCAGGTCTCCTCGCGCTCTGCGACCGGCGTCGGCGTTGGAGAGAGTTTGATTACTGCTGGTGCTGTTGATGATGCTGTTCCCCTCCGCTCTGCCCCCCTCCGTTGTTGCTATCCACCTTCCATGGGCGAGTTCGCGGCCATCGCTCGCGTCGATAATGACATGCCCTTTCAGGTTCTACAGCTACAGCGAGGTCGGGCCCGCGGAGCCCTCGAAGTTGTTCCTTCGGCGAATGTCTCTGCTGATTGTGGCGCCCCGCGCGCTCCTGGCGCCGCCGGCGCTGGCCGGCGCCCGCTGCCCTTGCCACCCCTTCAGGGGGGACTTCAAGATTGCTGCGCGGAATGCGAAGGCCCTCCTCGCTGCCGACGTCGCGAAGCACGCCGGGGAATGGCGTCTATTGGGGCGACTACTCCGACAAAATGGCGCGATTCTTCTCGCGGAGACGCGCGGGGCGGCCGAGGGCCTCGCATTCGCCGCGCCCCCTCATGGGGCGCAGGCGCGGCGGTCCCCCCCGGGGACTTCCCACGGGCGGGGTGGGGATCGTCATCTCCGAAAGATTTCTCGAGTGCTTTCCGCGTCGACGGTGGTTTCAGCCCCGCCCAGGTCGAGCGGGAGTTCTTCGTTTGGGCGGCCCCGCGGGTTCGCTGGACCTGGTGGCATTTTATTTTCCGACGGGGGCCCCGAGGCATAGCTTCCCGCGAGGAGGCGAAGCAGCCAGCGGGGCCCGGCTGAGCCCTGGGGCTCAACGCCGCGTTCCATGGGCAGCGATGGCTCGCGGCGTCCGCCCTGCTGAGGCGCCCCTCGCGGTCATTGGCGGCGACTTCAAGTGGGTCGCGAGGGCTCGTGGCAGGATTGCGCTAGCCGATGGTTCTCATGCAGGTCAGCGCGACCGCCCAGAGGGGCCCCACTGGGCCCGTCTTCTGCCCGGCTTCACCGAGATCCACCAAGGCGCGATGACTCATAGCTCAGCCCTTGCACGTTCACGGCCGCGCCGGTTCTACGCCGACTCTGAGGCCGCCGACCTGCTGGGCCGGGAGATCTTCGTTGGGGCTGGGCATTGGAGTTCCGATGTGTCGAACCGCGGGCCCGTCTTCCTCGGCCGGCGCCCCCCAGCAGCCGAGCCCCATGGGGCGCGGCCGATCGCGCCCCGCGTGACCAATCGCCCCGAGTGGCCGCGCAGGGTCTCGCTGAGGTATTTTGAGCTCAGGGGTGAGATCCAGCCAGACGACGACTTCCACGAACTGGTGTTGCTGAAGCAGGCGATCCGGGAGGTCTCGCAGTCCACGGTTCACGAGTGTGCAAATTTTCTTGCGGAGTCACCGGAAGGCAAGCCAGGTGCCGCGATGTTTGTTTTTCGCCTTGTGGAAACCCGCTCCCCCCCGGCGATTTCCCGGGCCCTGGAGAAGTGCCTTTCTTTATGCGGCATGGTGGTTAACCTTTTTTTCGCCGGGGCTCGCGGAGGGCCGCGCCCTGTCCGCCGCCCGTCGACGCGCCTTGGAGCTGGCGCGGGAGCGCGCCATCAGCGAGCTGACCCGATTCCAGGAGGAGGCGCCCAATATGGATGGGGCAGGAGGCCAAGTTCGCGCGCGCCCGGGACACCTGGCTGCCGGCGCGGCCCTCGCCGGGGAGAGGGGAGAACATGCTGGCGATGCGCGGCGGCGATGGCGAGGCGCGCGTCCAGCCAGAGGACATCGCACAGGATTTACCTTCGCATTGGGAGTCTGTGTTCCGGCGATCGCCGTCGAACCAGGCCCTCCGTCAGCGTTGGCTGGGCGAAGATCTTCCGAGTGCTGCTCGAGCTTCGCTGCCGTTTGTTTCATCCAGTCTTTGGGCCCCAACGATCCGGGAAGTTCGGCGAGCCAATCAACGTTCTGGCAACTTTGTCCCAGGGCTGGACGGGGCCCCAGCGGTGGCTCATCGCGCCCTTCGAGGGCCGGCGGAGGGAGTGCTTCACGGAGCGCCCCTCTGCTTGATGTCCTCAGTGGGCAACGAGCTACGGGCGCGCCGCGACCCCGAGTTCAACGCTGCCCTCATGTTCTTCATCCCGAGAAGGAGGCTGGCACGGACGCGGCGCATGGCATCTTTTACGATCCGCCGCGCGCGCGGCCGCTCAGCGTGACCAAATTCGACGGGGGGATCCTGTCGCAGGCTGTCCAGTTGCGGGTGGATCTCCCGCTCGAAAAATTCCCCCCCCCCCCCCCCCCCCCCCCCCCCCCCCCGTTCGCAGCGGGGCTACGTGGGCGGGCGGTCGCCGTTGGCAAACGCGCTGGACATCGAGCGGCGGATGATGGAGGTCGCGCTCAGGAGTGAGAAGGGCGCCTCGTTCTTTTTCGATTTCAAGGCCGCAATCCTCCCGGTCGACCAGGCGTTCGTCCTGGACCTGCCGCGCCATTCGGGGCTTTTCCCGACCCCCTCGTTCGTTTTATTTCCAACGTCTATGAGGGCAACTTGGTACACACGGTAGTGGATGGCAGACGTTTCCGATGTTTTCGGCGACCGCTGGGGCGCGGCAGGGCGACCCGCTGTCGTCGGTCATCTTTGCTATCGCGGCGGACCTGCTGCTTCGCCGCCTGACCCGCGTCTTCCCCGAGGCGCTGGTTCGCGCGCACGCGGGCGATTTGGCTTCGGTTTCAGACCAGCCGTTGTCCGACGCCGCCGTGCTCGAGAAGATGTTCGAGGAGTGCGCCCGGCTCTCTGGCCTGCGCCTGCACCTCAGGAAGTCAGTGGTCGTTCCTCTTTTCCCGGGGTGCGTCGGGCGCTTCCATGCGGAACAGTCTCGCGCATGCGTGGGTGGGCGGCCATGAATATTCAGACGGGCGCGGAATGCCTCGGCTTCGTCCTGGGGCCGACTAGCGGGCGGAAGTCTGGGGCGCGCCCCCTGGCGAAAATGGTCGACAGCGCGTCTGCGCGGGGCGATGTCGGGGGAGGCGCGCAGGCCCCCCCCCTCGCGGCGCGAGTGTTCATCGCCTCCGCGGCGCGCTTCGCGGCGCAGCTCCTGCAGCCGCCGGAGGAGCGGGGGGCCGCCGACAGGAAGGTCATTGGCAGGCTTTTGCCCGGCCCGCAGGGTTGAGTTTTGCCCGCGCAGCTTCGACGTCCTTCGCGTTTTGAATTGGCGGGCGGGCTGGCCGATCTGGCCCGGCTCGCCTTAGCGGCGCGGGCCTGGACTTACCGCTGCGAAGGCTTCGAAGAAGGAGGCCTCAGGATTGACGAGCGTCGTCGCGGGCCCCTCAATGCGATCGCTGATTCCGACATGCCGGCCCGGGCCGGGCGGTGGGGGGCGCGGTTCGACGGCGCATTCTGCCTGCGCGCGGGGGCGGCGCGTGCCCACTTTGAGCGCCTGAGCTCCCCGGCGCGCGTCGTCAAGTTCCAGATCTTGGAGCGCGCCGACACGAGCGAGCTGGCGGCGCAGGAGGCCCCGGTGCAGG